AATCGGCTGTTGCCGGCATTTTTTTGTGAAAATCTCTCGGCTACACATAGTGCGCATTAGTGCCTTGCGCTGAACAGAGTTTCACCAAAATCGCGAAGACCCAATTCGAGAAATTCAGCGGTTTCCAAATTTAGGTCATAATTTATGCGAAAATGATAAGCAAACTTTACACGGATTATATCTAATAAACCAAGAGATTCATCCCTTTGTTTTGGGCATCGTTATAACAGATGGGTCCTTGCAAGTCAGCAAAACGCTTTAGGGCCTTGTAAATGCGCGCGATTTCGAGCAAAGCAAACATATAGAAATTATAGTTTTCGCTATTTGTTGACGTTTGTCAGCGTTTGAGAGTCCTTCTCACGAAAAAAACATTTTCTTAAAAATTCGTAGTTTTTTTTTTTCCTTCAAATTTTTCAGGGCCACAATTGATTAACTAACTACCCGGACTCTGAATTTCATGGTCGTTGAAAAAGTGTGACATTATCTTCTATAAGCTCAAACTTGAGTAAACATTGAAGATTTTTAGCGTTTTGGCTGAGCTTGTGCTTTGGGAGTTGTCTGTTGTTTCTAGTCTGTCATTATACAGCATTCTTGTTCAGCACGCGTACAATGACCGCGCTTGGCTGACTTCCGAATGCTCACCGAGATATTCCCGTCACGAGTTGGTTTAATTTTTAATTATTGGCTTGCATTAAGGTGGCTCCGTAATTAATACTAGAGCATTTAGCTGTGACAAATTTTCCGTCATAACTTTTTCGATTTTAACGCGATGGCTGCGACACTTTACAAAAAACTACAGATATCATTCGGCAATAATACGAAATATTCCGATTTCATTGATGGTAAATATTTCTTGAGAAATTAACGCTTAAAAGGACCCTACCGTTCAAAGAAAATCGCGTCTAGTAAAAAAATTTGCTGATATTTTTTACTGAAATTTCTGGTATCGGCTTTAATTGATATAATAAATATGCCAGAGGAATTTCGGAAAAATCGTTGGAGCAGAAGTCCGTAACTAAAAGTCGCTCAAAATTCAGCTGTGAAATTGTTTTGGAATTTCAAAACTAAATTACTATCAGGAAGAAGGAGACACCAGTTTCAATTTTCGGGACAAGTAAATTCAACGTTTGCAAATTCTGAAAACAGAAGCCGATCATGATTGCCTATCGTGCTATTCTTTAAAAGGTACTTTTTAGTTTTAAAAGCACTATAAATTGCTCCAAACTTTGCTCTGACGTCGAATGACTTGTTCTTCGACATTTTTCAAATTTCCCTTGGCAGTTTTGGTTCAAACTCCTGCTGCATACATTTTGATGTATTGCAATGCATCCTCAACGGCTTTTCCTGCTTTACGTTGTTTCCAATTCAGGAAAAAGGTATCGGGATTGTATGCTACCTTGTATCGAAGCTCAGATAGAACTGTCCAGCACCTTTATTTATGACCAGAAAATGAGCCCGAGCGGCAGCTCTGGGAGGAATTCGCACCTCAGCCAGGGGGGACGAATGACAATGATGCCCATGTCTGTGAACCGAATAACATCAAAGTGCAATACATTATCCTGCTTTGGTTAACAGGCAAGACTTGGCTGCGGAACCTGGCGGCGGGAGAAGATTTCGGAGAAAAGCTATCTCACCCTGGTAAACAGTCAGGCATACCGAGAGAATAAAGCCTTGGTTTAATGACTGTTGTTTAATAATAAAACATGAGTGTTTAGCATACTTAGCCTGTACAGTGACGATGTTTTAGTTTTCTTTTCGTTTATCCCCTGCGGTTTATTTTTTATCACACGCGCTGGACGGACTCTGAAGAGAAAATACAGGGCCTGTGAACAGGCTTTATAGTACTCACCACTGAAAACTATCAACGTGGTTGTCCCCACGTTCAATTAAATTCATGTCATGTTCTTTTTAAATTATTATTATCTTTTAGTTGGTTTAATTTTTCTATTTCTTATTTTTATTCATTACTTGTACATGTAGATTATGTAAATTATCACGTTGTAATTTTTATGGCACATTTGCATTTAAACGAGCTATCGCTCATATGCGATATGTGGTTAAATAAAATTACTTACTTACTTAAATTACTTACTTATATGTCCCTGTTACAGGCACCACAGTGCAGGGGATTTGCTAATAAACTCCGAAGCTGAAGCTATCTTATAACTGACGAAACTGGGCCATGCCTTAACCTGGTGAAATATTCAAGATCCATTTGCGATTCAAGCGCTACGTTCTTTTGGGGATCTGCTTTGAAGTTTTTACACAAAACTGTGATTTGGCAAAAAAAAATGATAGAAAATAGCGACGCTGAATAATTTTCGGTTCTGACCGACTGATTCCCTTGTGGCCTATGAGTGCGTCGCATATGCATCGGCATTTATAATTCAGACAATAGGAAAAATTGACTCTGGTGTTAAAAAACAGCAAAAAGCATAAACCGAAGTGTATATACAAGGTGCTAACGTCAACTTTTCAGAGCCTTTTATTACCCGCTATAGCAAACAAGAAACACCACCCTACTCACGTGCCTACAATTACACTGGCAACGCGTGCTGTCACAAACACTGAAAGAGCTCTTTTTGTTTATTATTACTTATTGTTCATCAATCCTTTTCTATAGTTCTAATAATAATGTGAATAACCAGGAAAATTAGCAAAAAACATTTTAAAGGAATACATGCAATGTTCTTTTCCATTTGAGAAATGGAGCAAAGCGAAGCGTTTAATTTTTAACACGTCATTGTGAAATTTAAAGCCCTTTGTTCCAACGCTGCGCGTGTAATGTGAGATACAGATCCGACCAGATCAAGCATTCAGCTAGCAATGGCAGACGGAGTAAGTGCTAGTAGTAGCTCAGAAGACGAAAGAGAGAGATCTGGATCTCCCCCTCGTCAAAAAAACACAAAGAAAGTCAACAGATTATTTGTGTGGCTTCCCAAACGGTTGAAAGCCACTCCTCGTGGGTCCCATTGGGATAAGTTGAACAGAGACGGGAGCGTGAAAGAGATAGAGGTCGACGCCGGTCAACGTGAGAGGCGTCTGAGAGAGCGAATGGTAGAAAACTTCCTTGCATTGGCTACAGCGGACCTGTCAAGGTAGGAAATGTTTCTTTTCCGATCGAGCTCAAGCGACAAAGAGGTCGTGGTAAATGAATGTTTTGTGAGGGTGGGGTCGCAACATTTGCACGCCTAATACATGTATTGTTAGAGAGATAGGACTCATACGACGTAGTTGACGTCTTCGAATGTAAAGCTCTAATAAATGGGTGTGTTTTAAATCCTTACTACACTGTTCTTGCAATGCAGTTCTTTAAAAATACTAGAGTAAAACCGGTTAAACCGCAATGTACCGCGTGCGTTGTAGTAAGCAAATGCGAGCCAGGCGCGCGCGTGTATCCTGCTGGTAAATGGGACCACGCGCCATACTGCAAACCCTTTCAATCCAACACGTTGCGTCTCTTAAAAAAAAATAAAGACACAATAGGAGCAACAATTCGTTTCATCGTCAGATCGTTCCACTTAATAGTCATATCGTTCCACAATATAGCCAGAACTTTTCACGATTCTTTACGCCACAAGCAAAAACAAGCTTTACCGCAACAAAGCATTCTTCACATTGAGTTTTGAACTAAAACTGTGGAACGATCTGACTATTAAATTGAACAATCCGACTTGGAACGATTTGACTTAAGAACAAACAAATTGCTTAATAATAATAATGACAACAAAAACAATTTTATGAAAAATAGTATTTTTATTGATAACAAAGCAAACTAGTAAAAACCTACTTACAATTATTAGCTCAAAAAACTGTTCAATGAAAACACAATCTACAGTTCCTTTCGGTTAAAAAAGGGTAATTTTAATTTTTATGGAACTCACCGATTTATTTGTGGTTCTTATTTTTGGCAGAATTCGTTTTTATATCACACTAAGTCGAGGAAACGAGATGGTGAGGGTGGGGAACAGCATCCCTACAGGGAGAGAATTGTTGTCCTGGTACAAGAATGCCTCTTCCCGAAGAACGTTCTTCCTCTTAAAAGAAAGGACACATCAAGGTAGGAGAGTTCTTATGTTAAAAATATTTATTTACTGTAAATGACTGTCATAGCATTGAACTAGATAAAACCACCCCTTGTTCAAAGTGCAAGCCCTTGAGGCAAAATATCTATGAACATCTCTGTGCCTCTTTACAAGTGGATTTGGAGGATTTTTAGAATCCTGGGAGGAATGTGCAGGGTTGCCACATCTTCTTAAAGTTTTTCCTTAACTGCATGGATCTGAGATAAATCAGTCCAAATCATCCCTATGTTGATAGGTTTTTAACATTTCATCAATAACTCATTGTGCTGAAGAAAAAATAAAATGAATTTGGAGTAAATAATTAGGAACTGCTATCAAAAAACACAGTGTTCTCCCTAAATTTTAGCATGGCAGGTAAGGGACCATTCATGGGCAGTAAGGCAAGAAATATCTCCGGGGGGGGAGGGGTACTGGCATGACGGACAAGGCCCCACCCTCTAGGGGAAATTTAGGAGCTAAGTTCTCTGAAACGTCATTCCCTCATTGTAAGACCTATTTTATGCAAATCGGCCGTTGTTATTTTTAGACGACAATTTAAAACGTTCGATCTCAATAATTTTACACTGTCTGCAACGTTCTCTTTCCAAAATGCATGGCCCATAAAAAGAAAAGCTGTTTATACTTTAGTACTTTTCCATATATATTCAATTTCCTTGGGAGAATCAGATCAGTTCACAACTTCCTTTTTTCAAAATCTCCTTTTGTAAATTTTAGTAAACCTTCAAGCGGTTGCAGGCAGTAAGAAGTGTTGCTTCAGGCCCTAAATTTTACCGATTACCGCCTGATAAGGAGAACACTGCAAACAGCTGCAGTGTGAATAGAAGATAATACAATAGGGCCACAATTTTAATTTGTATTCCCTTAAATCTAGCTATTACATTGTATAATGTTTCACTTTCTTGTGTGCTTACAGAGAGCAGCACTACAACTGTGGTCCCTGTATCTTCTGCCACATTGTCAACTGCGTCCACATCAACCGTGGTGACTCCCACGTTTTCCCAGTCACGTCCCCTTCCAACTACTGGATGTAAGTGGAAACTGTTGTGTTCCTCTAGTCTATCATATAAACTGATAAAACTACAAAAAAACAATGAAAAAACAAATATGTTTCTTTTTAAGGCTACAATTTAACCAAGGGTCTTGTACTACACATTTTACTCAAATCTTAGCCCAGATGTAACTACAGTAGATGCCTTTTACCTGTTAGAACTTTCACTCATATACACTGTAGGCCCGTCAGCAAGCCCTGGAATTTCAACTATCATGGATAACAGTTTTTGTTTCTCTGCCCTGGGATATAGATCAGTTTTACAAATTTGGGAAAATTTGGAACCCAACTCATAATGTTTTCGAGTAATGCACAACTGTATTTTTTTCTTGGCACTCATGGAAGCCCTAAACCTGACATGCAATGCACTTTAGGAGAGACTGAAGGTAGCAGATAATAGAAAACTGATATACATGTACTAATCACTTTCTAAGTATAAGCCAAGTCATATAACTATGGAATTATTGCAACCATAATATTTCAGGAATTTGGGTGGGAAAACAACAAAGGCTGAAACTGTACCAAAAACTACCTTTACTGTACTGAAAACGATTATTTCCGTAAAATTTAGGGATTTCCTAGAATTCTTAAATCTAAAGCATCCAATTATTGTGGGAGACAAATAAGTCTTTTGTATTCAGGGTGGCCCCCTGACAACCCCAACAAAATCGTAACATATCAAAATCCCATTAATACCTCCAAATTTAAAGCCCTGGACAAAAAAAGAGGCAACAACTTTGTTATTTTTCCAGTCGCAACAAGGAGGTACCTGGCAAGGATGGCAACATCAGCATCCACATCAACATCCACGTCCATGTCTACATCCACATCAACACCCACATTACAGGAAAGAGGTGATGGTAAGAACTACATGTACAGGTAGCATGATATGACGTGTACAACATACACCCTTGATTTTGTTGTCAACTTTTGAAGTACCTGGTGGGCATGTTGACATATTGGCAAATTACCCTAAAACTGAGGGAATTCAAACAAATAATAATAATTATAAAACAACATACAGCTGTACACACTAGAACCCTAGTAATTTGAACTCGGGAGGGAAAGGTGAACCAGTTTGAGTTAGCGAGGGTTTTGAGAATTATCGGAGGTGACTGCAAAACCAATTTTCAATTTTTAAAAGTTGATATTTTTAGTTGATGCTTTAGTTGATATTTCATCAGAAACGCTAACATGATCAGACATTTTTTAAATGATAATTGTGATTTGTTTGTTTTAATACTGCTAAAATCAAATTCCTACATGGTGTAGACCTGATAAGTGCATGCAAGTTTTAGTTTTTTCTTCCCTTATACAACAAGAAGAGGTGATCAAAGGAGAGGACATTTAGTTCAAGTTAGTGGAGAATTTGAGTTATCCAAGTTTGATTTAATCAAGCAAAAATGAATGAACTTGGGGTGAACTCCAGAAATTGGCCTTGCTTTAAGTTTGCTTGGAGTTGGAGTTATTCCACATTCAATTACAGGGGTTCTACTGTAACCAATACACTCATATAGATGTCAGAAATCTACCTTTTTTCTACATTGTAGTTTCCTCTGGCCTACCAAGTGAAGATGCCTTGGATGGTGAGTCAACAGGTCCACTATTATGATACAATGCAGTGCCGTGGCCAGACCAAACGGCCAACTGAGGCAGGCGGGAGTTGCTAGGGGCGTTCGGGGGCATGCCCCCCCCCCCGAGAAATTTTGAACTTTAGTCTCTTGGAAATGCGATTTGAAGCGTTTTCTGCGTTTTCAGTATTAATACGGCGAAAATTTTGGTTATATATATATATTTTTTAACTGTTATATTTTGGCCACGAAATCTTTTCTGAGAGGCTCCGATGATCGCTTATGTAAAATAAAAATGATCGGCGAAATTCGTCAAAATTTTACCGAGGCGAGTGCCTCGGTTGGCCTCATACTAGCTACGGTGCTGCAATGTACAACAACCATTATCAATCTGCGAGTTAAAAAATAATGTCCATCATTGACAAACAGGGTGTTATTATTATTTTTCACCTTTAAGAGATGTACTACAAACATAAATTTATTTGCTCAAAAAATACAGGCACCTGCCATTGTATTGTGTACCTGCCAACTTTTTCTGAGATATAAGCGTGAGATTTTTATCCTGGGAGTGCTGGGATTTTTGGAGACGACACGATCATTTCCGAAGATTCCCGAAGAAGTCCGAAGTCTTCCAAAGACGTCCGAAGTCTGCCGAAGGCGAAGTTATCGAGAAAACGCTTATCCACAAAATCAGAGATCGTGAGGAACGTATTGTCATTTATTCATTTTACACATGGTTTTCATTCCTTACATGGGTCTGAGTTAACATATTTTTGGAAATTGTGTCAAGCAAGACGGTAACAACTCACATTTTTCAATCAGGCGTGAGAAATTGGCCCGCAAGCGTGAGCCGGCGTGAGATCGCAGTTTTCAACCTGCAGGCGTGAGACTCACGGCTAAGGCGTGAGAGTTGGCAGGTATAGTATTGTACAGTCTCATTGTATTTTTGATGATCTATCTTACTATGGTGTGTATGTTATATGTCAGATTTGATTGTAGGTTGTTTTCCATTTAACCAGGTTGATTCTCAGTTGAGTGCCAACCTCTGTTTAAAAAAAATACACCTGAAATCAAATTTGAACTGTAACATGTACATGTAAAAACTTTAGTAAACTGCCATAACAAGTGACAAACATGTGTTAATAAAGCGAATAAAGAAAGAAATTTTTGGTAGCAAAAAAGAGTGCTAGAAAAATGACCACGATGCATTAACATTAACATATATATGTAAAACTGTTGTCACCATGGTGATGAGATGATTTCATTACTAGTTGACAATTACATCAAAATATGGTAATATACATGTATGCTATAAGTTAAATGACTTTAACTTAACTTCAACAGAATCAGATTTTTTAAGAAGTCCTTTTGACGAAGTGATTGAGGTGGCCCCTCCACAAGGTAAATTGTTTTTTATCAATCTCAGCTAAGCCTGCTTACCCTTGAGGTACCACTAGTCAAGTGGTCTCTGACTAACTATAATAATATAATAACATTTTTTTTATTGAATTAGAGTACTACCGTGAAATTCCGAAGACAATCCCTCCATGTATAAGCCCCCTAAACTCATAATGCAAAAAACCCTCTGTTAAATCACCCCTCCAAATAAAAGCCACCCCCTTCCCCCCCTCCCCCCCCCCGATGCTTTAACATGGACATGTAAAGCTGTCGCCCCCATGGTGTTGAGATGATATTATTACTAGTTGCATGACAATTGCATCAACCTACCTTGCACAAATATGGCGATATACATGTATGCTATAAGTTGAATGACTTTAACTACTTCAACAGCATCAGATTTACTGAGAACTCCTCTTGACGAAGTGATTGAGGTTAACCCCTACACAAGGTAAGATTTTTTTATTAATCTGAGCTAAGCCTGTGTACCCTTGAGGTACCACAAATCAAAGAGTCTCTGACTATATAGATATAATAATATAACATTTTTGTATTGAATTAGAGTACTACTGTCAAATTCCGAAAACAAGCTCCTACATGTATAAGCCCCCCAAACTCATAACGCAACAAACCCTCTGTTAAATCGCCCCTCAAAATATAAGCCACCCCCTACCCCCCACCCCCACTCCCCCCACCCACAATGCATTAACGTGGACATGTAAAGCTGTTGCCCCCATGGTGTTGAGATGATATTATTACTAGTTGACAATTGCATCAACCTACCTTGCACAAATATGGTGATATACATGTATGCTATAAGTTAAATGACTTAATTTAACTTAACTTCAACAGAATCAGATTTTTTAAGAAGTGCTCTTGATGAAATGATTGAGGTGGCCCCTCCACAAGGTAAATTGTTTTTTTATCAATCTCAGCTAAGCCTACTTACCCTTAAGGTACCACTAATCAAAGAGTCTCTGACTAAATATAATAATGTAATAATTAACATTTTTTGTATCGAATTTGTACTACCATAAAATTCCAAAAACAAGCCCCTCCATGTATAAGCCCCCCAAACTAATAAAGCAAAAAAGCATCTGTTAAATCGCCCCTCCAAATATAAGTCCACTTGATGAAGTTATTGAATTAGCCAATCCATTAGGTACATTTTTTAATCCTGAGTCTCAACTAATTCTGTCTGCCGGTAACCAGGGATTTTCAACACTATATATATATAGCATATGAGCTATTCACCTGGGAAATGAAGGGGATATACAACCAATAGATGTTTCATCTACCTTCTCAATACCCTACCTGTTAAAGAGGGTCGTGAAGGGGGTACCAAATCCCAGTTCCCAGCCTAAATTTGGCCCAAATCCCAGTTCCCAGGCTAATTTTTGCCAAAATCCCAGTTACCAAACCTAAAATCCCATTACTAATGATTATTTGCAAAATCATGCGCATCATAAATTAAAAGCACTGATTGACGCTATTTGGATACACGTACTTTCACCTGGACTGAAGAAAATCTCTCATTCTGCTGGTGAACACTCTTTCTCTTCCAGCCATATGCAAACTTGCAGAACTTGTCCGCTGACCAGGAAAACTGACAGAACGTAACTATGCAACCGTGTAAGCCTGGTAGCGGGCGCTAAGGCAAAAAATACTGATTTCACGGTCTCTACTGAGGAGTGCAAGGTCTATTGCTACGAAATTTTATTTTTCTATTTCAAAATATTGGAGCAAAGACCGCTGAAGAAAAGAAATCCCATATAATTGTTCATCCCATTCCCAGTGGCTTAATCCCAGTCCCAGTGAGTAAATCCCATTTTCCCAGTCCACAATAAGGCTAATCCCAGGGTTAGGGTTAGGGTCAGCTGATTTTGACCTCTTTGCTTTGTGAGATTCTCGAGTCGCCGGGGCAGCACGCTTCTGTAGGCGTGGTGCAGGAGGTACGGTGGGGGCAGCACGAGATTGCCGACGAGTCATCATATTGACTGGAAAACAAAAATAGCTCATGTGTAGCAAGGAAAGTAACCCGTGGATGCGAACCACAAAAATTGCGGTTATGCGCGCGTTGGCTAAAGAAACCGCTTATGCCCAACAGTCCATACCCCACTTTGACCTCGTAACAAAACAGAAGAAAAAAGAAAAATAAATAAAATTAAATAAAAAATAATAATATAAAGAACAGTTCCAGCGAACCGTAATATATAAGAAAAAACGGCAAATAATGATAGCTGCCGCAAGGAACATGCTTAGGTGCCGCAAAGCTTGTGAACTCATAGAGTTCTCAGTAAAAGTATACAAACAGTCTATTTAGACATGTAGGACAAAAGAAAGTGTGGGTGTAAAAAAAAAAGGACCTATAAATTTAAGCTGGGAGCGCGACCCGCGGCGGGGGGGGCAACTGAACTTAATAGCGGATAGAATGGCGCTCCTGTAGCTCCGATAGAGAGCATATTGCCCTTTGGAATTAAGGTGTACCCGTCTCTGCATAAAATGCGAACGGTGGGTTGTCAAGTCCTTTGTGACGCCAGAAAACAGCAAAAGGTAGGGTCTCCAGCACACGATCGTTGAAGGAGGGTGGATCGCTCAAACCTGCAGCGCGGTTAATGGTCTGACAAACTACTATCGTTTCAACTTGGCATTCAGCGTGTAAACGCTGAGTGAGGGTCTCGATCTTCGAACCTACCACCTCAGGCCTAGCGTCCGGCGGGGAAAGGTCGTTGGAACCTATTTCCAAAATCAAAGTCTGAGGTTGTAGGCGCCTTACTAAATGTAAATCAAATTTAGATAGCTTGTCGACGGCGACCGCCAACTCCGAGAAAAGTTATCTGCGCGGAACGGGACAAGTTAAGATCCCGTCGTACCCTTGCGTCTACGCCTTTAGACAAAAATAATTCAAAACGACGAACAAAGGCGTGGCCCATAATGAGAACATGGGGTTTAGGAGACATGACTAACTTAAAAAAAAACAACAAGAAAGATATACTCAACTCTGGAAGTGAAGGACGGAGGTGTGCGGCTGTCAAATTCGCAAAGCTTGTTACGTCTGGACACCAAGAGGAAGAGGCCTAGTGGCCAAGTGGCCTATACCAAGTTACTACGAGGAATGGCTTAGAGCATGGTTTTTGAATTTCTAAACATAAATTCTCAAGACCATTCAGGTTCAAGTCACGGCGTATTACAAAGTTAATAGAAGTTTTAATGTAACAGCATACACCGCCACCGTAATAACATTTTAAAAAATAATATGCTTCTCTTCATTTCTTAAATCAAGCAGTGTCGTAGATGCAAAAACCTATTTTCCACATCACCTTTCGGCGAACTCGTCAAACAATGAGGTATTGTTTGAGAGACCGCTTGAAGGAGGTAATATTAATTACATGAAGTTATCGCAGTTTTGATAATTCTTCTTTGTCATTGTTTATTTATTGTTGCAAAGACAAGGAAAAAATTCTATGAAACATTCAGAAGGCAAAAAATGTGCTAGCCATAGGTAATGACATCCAGCGTTTTTGCATCTACGACACTGCTTGATTTAAGAACTGAAGGGAAGCATATTTTTTATTTTTCCATTCTTAAACAATCGCCTTTCGGGGAACTTCACACCTATATCTAGTTTTGCAATCTTCTTGCAATTGCCGAAAAGAATCGGCAAAGTTAAAATTAAAGCGGCATCGTCTGTTCTATTGTCAAAGACTTGTGAAAAGTGTTTCAATGGTGTTTTCCTTCCTTTCTTTCGAGTTTGTTATTCAGCTCGTCGAAACAATGAGGTATTGTTTGAGAGACTGCTTGAAGGTGTATATATTAATTTATTAGTTATCCCAGTTTTGATAATCTTTTTTTAATAATGTTTATTTATTGTTGCAAAGACAAGTAAAAGAATTCTATAAGCATTCTGAAAGCAATCCAAGATTCAGGCGCTGATCTTTTTAAAAATAAAAAGACTTTCCAAGTTACAATCTGGCCAATATCCTGTCTGAATGACTTGAAAACCCAGGAAAGGGGAATTTTAAGGAGTAAAAATCCAATTATTTCCTGGGGAGCCCTCCCCGGATCCCCCTAGAAGCTTGTGCCTTTGGCGCTCGGTCAGTATTTATCCTAGATCCCCGCCTGAGATTTTTGTACCTACAACACTGCGTGATTTAAGAAGTGAAGGGAAGCATAAGTTTTTACAATTTATTTTCCATTCTTAAACAATCGCCTTTCGGGGAACTTTACACCTATGTCTAGTTTTGGAATCTTCTTGTAATTGCCGAAAAGTATGGGCAAAGTTGAAATGAAAGCGGCATCGTCTGTTCTATCGTCAAAGACTTGTGAAAAGTGTTTTGAATGGTGTTTTCCTTCACACCTAAAAATTCCACGGGTCAACATCGCACACAATACATGTATTGTTCTTCTACTTGCTTTTTGTTTCAGAATTAAACACCCACGTGTTTCACTGCTTATAACTTCTCTTCCTTCCGAAATCGTGGTCAGTGTCAAGTGGAACTTGCCTTCAGACGTGTCGTTCGATAAAAGGAACAGTTTTGTTACTGCCTTCATATTAGTAGAAGTGTTGAGCACGCGGAAGATGAATCAAATATATATCTACCGGTAGAGGCCGGATATGATGAGTATGAACGTAGGAAGAGAGTCCAAAAGATTTTGACCGAGAAAACATTTGAAAAACCCAATGTAAGTATGTTAAAGTTTTACGTGGAATTAGCTCATTCTATAACCGACAACGAGCAACAAGGCAATTTAAAATTTCTGATCTCTGTTCTTTTTAAAGCCAATAACCAAGAAGCACAGACGATGAATGTCATAACGACATTTTAACCACATTTCTGAAGTTGTGCAGCCTATAAACGCGATTGAAGAGAAATTGAACCAGGCTAAAAGAAGATTTTAAGACCGCTAAATATCAAGAAAGTCATCGACAGCAGATGGCTGTATTGGACAAACTTCGTCCTCCTGCAAGTGGTGAACTGAAGGAGTTGAAACGTAGAGGCAAAAGGGGTGAGTAATTCGTCAAATTAGAAAT